AGATAGAGAGAGAGAGAGAGAGAGAGAGAGAGAGAGAGAGAGAGAGAGAGAGAGAGAGAGAGAGAGAGAGAGATTTATCAGATACCTGCGCAGGCTGCGCTGTTCGAAAAGCAGGTTCGGGCTATCACTAGGACGGGAGGCCCTATGGCCTAGGCCCGTGGCATGACAGCCTATAGCCGAGCAGGCAGAGGCCGTTAGAAAATTGCTTCACATCAGCTCAATGTTGTACTGTTCTTTTGTTACCCTCGCAACCCCGCAGGTATCTTATTGTGAATGGTTGTTGCCACTTGTTCGGACTCTTGGGAGTTTTGGAATATTGTCTCAGGTTGATTCATCCAGTGCTTACTCAGTGCTTTATCCACACATGTGCTGCTGTGCATAGTGGTTTCAGAAACTTTTCGCTGCTTACTCAGTTTGTGTATATTGTGTACTCTGTCTCGTCTCCCCTCCTTGTTAAGTCTGTGCGGCATGTATGGGCGTGCGTATGATTGTCTGAGTGTGAGTGTTCCACTGTTTGTGGGGAATTGAAAATCAACAAACAACCAAGTTCACAACAGTTCTGCACACAGTCGCACGAGTGTTTTCAACATGTGTCTTATGAAGTTGCGAGGAATTGTTTTTTTTTTTTTTTTTATGACTGCAAATGGTGCAATGTTTAGCATTGTTCATTGATACATATATATATCGATGGATGTAGATCATGCAGTGCAAATTTGTGCAATATTCAGTTAACTTTAGTAGTCCATTATGTTGGGCACGGAAAAAAGGCCTGAATGTACTAGCCGGGATAACCATATATAATATATTATGTATATATATATACACACATACACACACACATACACCCACACACAAACACACACAGTTGTCCAGTAAACCGTAGGCAGAGGCTTAGAGAAGGAGAAGAGGACAACAAACGAGGGGTTGTGAGCCTGTGACAAACTGTTTCGTCGGAGTTTCACCGACTCATCATGACTCAGGAGTCAGGAGTCAGGAGGGTGAACCCCCAATCAGTCTACAGAATCCCCTAACTGATTACACTATAAGTGATAATCCACTTGAACCCCGACTGTGGTTAATCATCAACGACTGCCCGACAACTGTTACCCTGAGGTAGTGGGGAATCTGGGGATCAGAGGACCACCATTGGTCCACCAACCACTGCCCTGAAGGTACTTGTGACAAAATCAAAGCAGAATTTATTTATTTTTTTCGTCTTTTACAAACGGGGTTTACGGGGCCCATTGCCCAGGCGATAGTACATGGAACAATTCTCAGCAGCTCCCGGGAGAGGGCCACCCCCCAACGTGCAACACGTTCCCACACCGTGTCGCACTTTTTTCTAGTCCGGTCACTTAGGGCGACCAGAAAGCCAACAGGCTGTCACGCAGGATTTGTTGTTGATTGCAATAAATAAAATAAATTAAATAATGCAAATCCCTTCCTGTTGTGTGCGTCCGGCTTCGAGCGAGACCCTTCAATTGCGGTCTTCGCCAGTCCCTGACCTTAGGAATCTTTTATTTTGATTTGGAACAGCGGAGAATTATGCAAGTAATAATCATAAAATGATGAGGTGCTATGCATGCTTCAATTATGTCAATTTGATTTCAAGAACTGTGACAGAATCATCCACGATAGCAATCTTCAGATAAGAACAATGCAAGAAGCAAGACCGACTGACTCGAGCAAAGACAAAATCAAATGAATGAGGGAAGAATGAGAACTCATAATAATCTCAGAAAGTACACATAAACGAGCATGGTCAGCACCTCTCAAGAGTCTTCACTTATCCCTCTGGTCAGTCTCTCTCAATCTCTTTTCACTGATCTTCTCTGGTGCCGAGACCCACGCCCACGTACAATCTGAGACTGAGACTTCGTGACAAAATGCCACCTGTAGCCAGCAAGCTCTAAGCACGACCATCTGAGGCACATGACACGATAGTTAACCATGAAGCAAAACTCCTCCCACAAAGTAGGCATTCCGTCCACTGAAAAGACTCCTCGTCTGAGGTAGGGATACTCGGTGGGCTCCGTCAGCACCTCAACGTCAACCCGCCGGAGAGATGTACCTCTTTGCCAAACCAATCACATCCAGCCAACTCATGCCATCAGTGAGAGGAGAAGGGACTGGAGGCCTAGGAAAGTCAGTATAAAGTATCGTCCCGAAGCTGCGAATCAACGTAGTGTCATTCTCATCGAGATCCCTCTCTCTCTGCTCAAGGTATTCGGTGGCTGAGATCCAGACTGGATTGAAAAGTTCATGAGTCTCCTTGCCCTTCTTCACGTAAGGCCTCAGATCGTGGATAGTGCCATCAGCAAAACTGGTATGGACAACGAAGATTGACAGATCTCCCTGTCAGAAACCAATGGCACTAACGTACCAATAACGGGATGCCTCTTTGCATGAAAACCGGTTGAGGCTGGCCAGCACTGACTCACTGACCGGCGTAGACTGAACTGTGCTCATGAGTACTCTTGCCACTGCAAACTGACCAGATGGTCTTGGAGAGCTGGTTGCCTGAACTGATTGCAGAAAACTGTTTGCTGAAAGCTGAATGCCAACAACTGAATGCTGAGAACTGAGTGCTGAAGACTAGTGCTGAAGACTGAATGCTGAAAATTAATGCTGAAGACTGATTGCTGGAAAATTAATGCTGGAAACTGATTACCGGGAAATTACTACTGGAAACTGATAACCGGGAAATTACTGATGGAAACTGATTACCGGGAACTGATTGCTGCCGCAGAACTAACTGCTGCTGAGATTACTGGTTGCTGAGTCAAATGCTGATTATTTTCTGAATTGTTGTTTTGTCGGTGATTACCGTGTCATAACTGTTTGGCATTTATCCTCGTGTCTTGTAGGTTTGCAGTATTTCTGGTAGCTACTAGTTTCAAACTTGATCCAATCTTATCTTACTCACTTCCTGCCCGGTGCAATTTCGTTTTACTTGTATCTACAAATGGTTCTCCGTGCCTCCTCAACAGAACCCACAGATGGGATGGTTGCAAACAGTCTTCCGCTCTTGTCATACATATAGTAGGTATATTAAACGTTTGTATGGTTTCTTACGAGAGTCAGCACGTGCTCCATCATGACGGTAGTCTGGCAATTATAGTCATCAGTTGCCGTCTCCCTCCAATCCCTCGTTGAGACTTGATGCAACGAGCAAGCCACTCTAACTGTATCAGTGTCCCCCATCTCTCCTCTGAGTTTCCCGCTGTTTGGTTACCAGTTGACTGCTGCTGCTGAGATTGCCGCTCACAAGTGTTGTTCTGAATGCAGTCCCAAGTACCGTCATGAGAACCGTTCAGAGTACAGTTCTGAGTACAACTCCAAGTACAGTTCCAAGTACAGTTCTGAGTTCTGTCCCAGTACAGTTCCGAGTACAGTTCTGAGCTCTGTGCCGAATACAGTTCCGAGTACAGTTTCGTGCACTGTCCCGAATACTCAGGCTAAACACTAATCTGAATATGGTCCCGAGTACGGAGTCTGAATCCTGATCTGAATACCGCTCAGGGCCCTGAGCCTGAGTCCTGTTATCTGAGCCAGAGTTTCAGTAACCCGAGGGCCTCGTTAGAAAACTGTCTGCTCTTTTTCTCTTTACTACTCAACCTCTGCCCTTGCGTGCTCGACCGTTTCTAATCGAGAGAGAATGCTGTGCGGTTTCCCATCAAGTCCGTAGAAGTAAATTACATATTCGATGTACTTCCTTTCCCCAACTATCTCAACAACAAACTTTCTCTGAATCAATCTGTGTTTCTCCATGTCCTTGTATGGCTCTTCCTCCCAACCTTCCCCCTTGTCTCTGTTGGATCTGCTTTTAATCACTAGAATCTCATCCTTTTTCATGATTCCCCAGTTACTTCGAGATTTAGACCACAACCTGAACGAGATATACGAAGTTGGTATGCCTCGACCACTGCCCAAGGCCAAAGCGGTAAGTCACTATGCCATATGATTGGTTACAATTACCGCTTACTGGATGTCTTCTGACGTCCAAGATGCTGACAGATTAACTATCAAACTTTGGCTACACACTGACTTTGCTTGAATAATGATTGAACAGTGACTGAGCAGCGATCCAATTCTGGCCGTGTACGAATTGATCACCGCACTCGACGAACAAGCCACTCTTGGGGCTATACTTTTCATGCCTGATTCCCCGGGTGATCCCTACTTCCTCTTTATTTAATCCGCTGTCTTTCAGTGAAAAGGATTTGTACTGCACAACTTTTCTTTCAGTTCCTGGAGATAAACCATTATTCACTCACCMTTTTCGATATTTGCTCTCCCATGACTTTCACTCGGGTCTGATCTGGTCCCCACCCACCTGCTCGTGAGCCTGGATTGTCATGTTTGGCTTACGCTCTTACATAAGCTAGCTCACCGCCAGACTAGTGGGTAGTTCTGAGTCGGCAT